GTGATGCTTTTTTGTATGTGTTCACTCGGCTAAACCACCAACCCCCCCAAAAAAAACATAATTTTACTTTACAGACTCAAGTCTGCAACCAAATGTGTGTGGGTTGGGGGGAAAGGGGGAAGAGAAGTGAGAAAGAATCAAGTTTTCTAAATGTCTTGCTAAAAACAATCATTTATGTCATTTTCTTGGAAGGAAAACAAAGTTTGACTTTATAGTCAATAAGGGCTTTCACTCGCTCCAAATCATCCTCCATAACGCAACTCAGATTCCAAAATCAAAACTCATTGGCAGGAACAGAGTGCAGATGTGCCCGAATACTCATTTAACACTGTGCTCCCAAAGCCTTCTTTGATCAAGCACCTTAGAAATCTGTTGAAGTAGGAGGCCATTCAACCCACTCCAATTGCTGGGCTGAGAGTTCAGTGCATTGCCGAAGTTGCCATCCTTTGGATGAGGCATTAAACTGAGGTTCTGCCCAACTGTTTTGGTGGATGTTAAGGATCCCAAGACATTATTTGAAAAGAAAAGGGAGTATCTCCCTGTGTCCTGGCCAATAATCCCTCAGGAGTAAGGGGAAAAGGTGGATAAATGCAACAGGCAGGATTGCTCTTAAAAGAGCCAACAGACATAATGGTCAAATAGCTGTAAAATGGCTGTGCTGTAAATTTCCACGGTTCTATAAAATTCTGTCAATCACTCCATGGCTGTTTGTGGAACATTGTGTGCAAACTGACTATCACCCACAAGCACATACAGTCACACCACTTTACAGTATACCCCGATGTGCTTTGAGAGGTCTCAAAAGTGCAATAAGATGCTGTATTAAAAATGCAAGGATTATTTATTTGTATGAAATTGTCACGCATTGCTGTTTGTATGACCAATTAATTAAATTAATTATGCTTTCTACATAAAATGGCAATTCACCTTAGTCTCAACACTGTTTAGTCTTCCTCCGCCTCAGGGCTGTCTAATTATGGTTCCACTTCAAGGCTGTAACTTAGTAAGTGTGTATAATCTGCCTTCTATTCAGCAGCATACATCTTTTGTCATGGCAGCCAATATCTGGTCCACACTTAAAATGTTACAATATTTCAGATCATTTCAAAACTTTTGCCTCTGGTTTTAATTTGTTTTAACCTAACTTTTTGTTGATTCTTAGCACTTCCATCAGTGTTCAAACTTCTCACAGTTGTGTAGTATGTCCCCACTCACTATCTGGGCTGACACATGAAGAACGGTCACTTCAGCCAGGTACCAGAAGGAGCTGAAGGTACCTTATTCCAGCAACGGATAGTCTTCAGTAATGAAGGAGGAGGGTTGGAAAAATAATAATAGCATTTGATATAGTACGCTTATCATGTTGTTGAGATGAATAAAAGTACTTCAAAGTCTATACTGTAAAGTGGATATACTATAACTATATTTTGTAGGCAAATGCGGCAGCCAGTTTGCGCACAGCACCCTCCCACAAACAGCTATGGAGTGACCAAAGTTTATTTGGGGGCTTGTTGGCCAGGACATCGGGAAAAACTTCTTTCGCTTTTGGAATGTGCCTTACATGTTCCTTCCTCATCTTCAGGTTGTGCCTAAAGACCTTCCTATTTAACGGAGCCTACAGTCACCTCCCCTTCCACCCAGACCTGAGCTATATAAATACAAGTTGTTGTTCTTGTGCCATGGCCAAGGAAATGCAGTATAACTGGAGTGTACAGCAGTAGGACGTATACAATTTAAATCTAGATTCCAACCAATTATTAGATTTCCAACTTAGTAGTTCACATCCATCAGATGTTAGAATTTGCATTTTTCAATCTTACACTCGCATCAAATTTAAGAATGTTAAATTAGATAAACTCCTCCAATATTTCAATGAGTATTTAAGAAGCAGGAATTGGTGCATTCACATGAAGAGGGCAGGTCAAAAGCTTCTCAAAGTTGAAAGTTTCAATAATACAATGAAAACATTGGGAGTAATTAATTCTACTAAGCCCCATAACACAATGGGAACTAAATTAACAAACTGAGAAGTCATTTTCCCAGGGTATACTGGAGGTCCGATTTATTTTACTGTTGATTCAATTCCCTCACAATGTTCAGAAATGGTAACATTCAATACCGTTCTCCCAGCGTCCAATAATACAACAACTTGCATTTATATAGCGCCCTTTATGCAGGGTAGCGACTCAAAGCACTTAATAAACTGATGTAAAGGTGAGGGGAAAGTGGCAAATGTATTATGTGCAAATTGGATGATGTGTTCATCTCCAAATAAACGGTCACTACAGTTTACAATATATACTGTGAAGCACTCTTAGATGTCCTCCCAAAGTGAAATTAATATATCAAATAGAAGGATTATTATGAATTATGAAGTATTGTACCTTTGATAATCTTTCAGATGAATAGGAGGAAGAATGTAGAACAGAACTGGAATGAACACATGAACCAACTTCAATCAACTTCATACAACAAAGTGATAATTCCATGACAAGTTCAAAAAAAAGTGACAAGTTACTCTGTGATCTGCAATGAATTGTGCCATTTCTGTGTCCATTCTCATTGTAATGTTTTGCTCTGACAGCGTGGGAACCAAATATTCAGATTTATACATCTGTTGAGGTTTATGTTCAGTTACCAACATCAAGTTCCAATTTGGGCCCCTTTTTCTCTCTCCAAAACATCAGTCGAACTTCCAACAAGAGCATCCAAAGATTTGATTGTTTTTCCAATGAAAATCAGAATTTCAGTGAATTTTTATTTATTTTCGCAATGTAAACAAATCACTGCCTCTAATATGGGATTGTGATCAAATCTAACCCTAAACAGCAGTGACAAAACCAAGCCAGAAGTTAACTTCTAAAGTGGTTCACTAGAACACAAGTTCACTTTTAAAGATAATTATAGGTTTGCATGTCTTCTGGATCCCCCAGTTCCTGTGTGCCCAGCAAGCCAGCTGTGATGTCAGTGTGACTTGGAAGCAATCCTACAATGGGGCCTAATTTTATGATCCCAAAACATAGTTATAATGGGGTCAACCTACAGTTACAAAATATATATGGAAATAATGTATCTAGCAAGATTACCAATTGTTTGATCCCGGTAAAGCCGTATTTTAATTTTTGCTGCTCCATCTTACAGACTTTCAGGACAGCAGCATGTTATTTTTGGTTATGTTTTGATTGAACAGTCAGTAATAATCCTTGCATTTGAGCTGGCACCTCATTACATCGTCAAAACACTTCACAGGATTTTTACTGTACTGTAGTGATTATGCATTTAGAGGCGAAACAAATAGACAGTCACTAGACTGGAAGAAACTCTTTTTAAAGAATGCTAAGGGATCTTAAAGTCTACTTGAAGGAACAGATGGGGCCTCGGTTTAATGTGGCATCTGAAGAGCTGCATGTTGAGGAATGCAGTTCTCTCCCAGCTCTGTATTAGAGTGTCAGTATCGAGACTATGAGCTCAAATTCTCCACATAAGGTTTTGAATCAACAACTTTCTGACTTAGAAGAGTGTTACCAACTGAGGCTGACACTATTCTAACGTTAAGATGCAACCGCAACATTATTGCAATGATTTTAACATGCAAGTGTTTATACCATTTGCTGCACTTGTACAGATGGGGAATAACAAACTGGAATCCTACATCCGCGCAGCTGGTCTTGTTGTTTAAAGGACACAGTGCAGAATTGAAAGAGAAACACCACAAGATGTGTCTGCTGAGACTTCAATGGTTTTGATCTCAAGGTCTTCACCTTCATCTACAAATCTATCCACTCCCATGCGTCGCCTCATTTCTCCAAGCTTCTCCTCCGCACATCCCCTCCACTTTGCTTAACTCAGGCTTGCTGCACACCTCCTCCCCTTGCACCACCATCAGCGGCCGAGCCTTCAGTTCCAACAGCTGTACCCCCTCCCTCTATCACTCTGTCTCAGACCCTCTCGTTGTCTTTAAATCATGCCTCAAATCTTACTTTTCCTTTGGACACTTCCTCTTTGCAGGCATCCAAGACCACTTTAGTCTCTTCCATCCCTTCTTTAGTAAATTTATATTTGACTGGAACAGGCAGACGGGAACTCCATTTAACATCTCAGCCAAATGATGGAACCTCCAGAGCCACAGAGCACAGCACAGAACTGAATTGGAGTGTGAGCCAAGACAACAAGTTCAAAGTCCCAATGTGGGGTTGTTCCCAGAGCCTTCTTACTCGCACGCAAAAGTACCAACTTAGCCAGGCTGACACCTATCCTCCCACACAGCTACTGTTGACCCTGCAAGCCAAAGTCCTAACAGATAGGGTGATCCAAGCTGGACAAGCAGCGGGAAAGGTTGCCAGACAGCGACATCAATGGCAAGCTATGTAGCTTTATCTAGTCTGACTCCAGCAGTCTGGGCTTCTGCCAATCTGCGCTAACGCTTTCTAGAATTAGGTAAACAGGATGAGTCCCTCTGGGGAGAGAGTGCATTCCATTCCAACCATCTATCTCTGGAATTTCCATGTGTAAATGGGATTCTCAGTTTGATTTGGATACTCCTAAGCAAGGTGATGGGTTTATGGCTGACCAGATAAAAACGCATTTGTACACACAAATTTCAGAACTTTATTATTAATAAGCACACAGTTTAGATTGGAGGTTAAATCATCATAAACCAACACAATGTAAGGTTACTTGAATTAGTGAACCTGCTGTGAAGTATGAACTGACACAAATTTTCTTTTTCAGGCATTCCTGTAATATTCAAAGAGAGGCACTGCAATGTTATCAATGTAAGATAGCTCCTACCTACCTACAGTCAGATTGACAGCATTATAAGATTGCTTTGAAGGCACCCGCAAATAAATTCACTTTATGGTTATCTATAGGCAGCAATCATTAACCAAAAGTAGCTCTTAAAGGTCAGAAGGTGTTAAAGTGCACCTGGCTTTTCTTACCCCTTTAAAACATTTGAAAAGAAGCTTAATGTGGGAAATAAAAATGGAAGAGACACTTACAGTGTGTTAAGGTTCTTCAACCGTCGGAAGGCTCCAGGCGGGATATCTTTGATTTTATTGAACCGCAAGTCCCTGCCAGAAACAAGAAGTAAATCATAACTTTAGTCACAAATTATCTACTTTTGTCTTGCAAGATCTCGCAAGAAGCTTGCATGGTATTTACAACAAAGTAACAGTTCCTGCCTTTTTTTAGGGTTTTACATTTTTCTTACCCTCTCCTTAACAGCTTGCAGAAGTGCTACTGTCACAAAAATCAAAGAATTCATACAACGTACCTTAACATTTAGTGTATTTATGCAAAGTACGAGTAACGGGTAAACTCGCACAATTCATATCAGTCAACTTAATGTGACGTATGGGAAATTATGTATAACTTGCATTTTCTTTTGTTAAAAAACTCTAAGTTTCTGTATTATTAGACATCGAATTGACATTCTTAAGCAAAGAATAAGTACAGTCCCTTGAGCTATATTTGGACCTATACAATGTACAGCGCCATGATGACCTGGTTTCCCGGGTTTTAGTGTTTCAAACGCAGCACTGCGTATTAGTACTTCATCAGTGCAGATGGTAAATGCGGTAGTGGTGATACGAGTTAGAAGATGATTTGCATCAGGATTTAGAATTATTTGAGATTAAGAAACCATTACAATTTAGCCGTTCATCTTACTTGTAAAATACAACTATTGTAAAGAAATCTAAGTGCCTTTCGGGTAGAAACTGAATAGGACTTGGGTACATGTACAATTTGGAGGTTTATACGATTTACAGTGAGATGAATTGTGCGAGTTTACCTGGACATTCTGAACACCCATGACCCACAGTGTAACACATCACCAAGATTTTAAAAAAAGTAGAGACAATTATATAGATTAGGATTATATAGACAATTATATAGATTCGCCTTCCTTCCTCCCTTTCCTCCTTCAAGGCCGGTCTCAAGTCCTTTCTCTTCGACCGTGCCTTCAGCTCCCCTCTCGACTCTCTACCCCCTCCTTCCTCCCTCCCCTCACCCTGACCATTTCCCCCCTGCTCGGGTCCCGACCCAACTGTCCAGCGCCTTGGGACGTCCTCCCGACGTGAAAGGCGCTCTATAAATGAAATCTTGTTGTTGTTGAAGTTCTTAAATGCTCCTGAGATTGAGTTTTCATCTGTGGGAGTTCAGGAAAAATTGAAGGAGGAAAGCACTTCTAAAGTCCTGGGAAATGAATGATTCATGTACTGACTCTTGATTTCAACACACTGGGAGGAAGACCGACATGTAGCATAGCACATCAGTATTCGTGAGAACAGAGACATTCAGAACAATAATAAGCATAACTCCATTGATTGAGAGAGAAACAAAAACAGGATAAAGTGAGACTCGGGAGAGTAAGATTTAGATACAAGGGATGAGGAAAAGATTGACATTTCCAATATTTCATTTAAAAGTGAAACAGAGATGCTGGTCTTTCCTGTGCTATTATTCACGTGCTATGCCAAACAATATGCGGTAGAGGTGATCGTTTAGCAGTGATGACAAAGGAGTTCGGGAGTGATAACAAACTGCTAGTAGTCCAGACGAAAATTCCCACAGTTCCGTAATTTTTCAGAATTCCTACCAAAAAAGGTGCGTTCATTGCAATTTGTCATTGCAACGTTGAGATTATGTCAACATGAATCCAAAAGAAGCTTAGGATTGTCAACACACATCTATGTCAGAGCAAACCAATCAAGGACTATTTCAGCGCGTAATAGCATCCAGCTGTGATTGAGAACTGCAATATCCAGCAGTGGAAAGAGAAGGTCACCACAGATCTGAATCAGTCTGGCTGATCTCCAAGAGACCGCTTCGACCACTGATCGAATGACGTGTTGCATAATCGGGGGGTGAGGCAGACCTGCTGGCAACTTAGGTTGTGGGAAAGTGATGCAATTGGATTCAGTTATCCAGAACTAGACATAGTAACAATTTCAGACAGCACTAGCCTTTAGCCCTTCTAAACTATTTATTCAATTCTCATAAGATTCTCTCTCACTATTGCACAAAAACGTATTTGCATAGTTAAGAGAATCACATAAAGCAGTTCATTATGGCCAGAAACCGCACAGACTTGTGTTTATGATCAAATTGGGTTGAACAATACATCTGTGAGACAAGTTATAATAATAATCCTTGCATTTGATATCGCGCATTTCACATCTTCTAGACTTCTCAAAGTGCTTCACAGAATATACTGTAAAGTGAATTGACTGTATATTTGTGGGAGAAACACGGCAGCCAATTGCTCACAGCAGTGTCCCACAAACAGTCGTGGATTGAATGACCAAATCATTATTGTTTTTTTCTTGAGGGATTATTATCATGTCTATAGCCACGTCTAATGAACAAAAAAAATGGCTGAACGTAATGTGATTGAGACCAGTCATAACAAAACAAACGCTGGAAATACTCAGCAGTATAAAAGTTCTGAACAAGGATCAAACCTAAAAGATTAACCTCTCTCTCTTGCTGTCTCTCTCAGTTGTTGAATGAACTGCTGGGCAATTTCAGTACTTTTGTTCAATTCAGATTCCCGGCTCTACTCCTAATACTAGTATCTGGACCCATTCATACTGTCCGCCCTATATGCTGGCACAAAATTTAACTGATGCCACATTTTGACAAATGCATCTACCAGGATATTTTCCCAAAGCACAATTCTCATCTGTGAAAAGGCTGTTGACACAGCAGTTAACATTCCAACAAGGTAATGACTGAAACATGAAATGGCAATATCGTGGTTGTACACAGAGAGGACGCACAGAGAGATCCAGATGCTCATCTTTTGCAGTGAGATTCCAGATGGTCAGTAAAAATCAATAAACAGGGCTAAATGGGTTTTGAGTTTTTTTTATATTAATAAGATAGGGGAACTGAATACAAATAAAAGACTTTGCTGAATGTGTACAAGACATTAGTTGGACCAGGGTGGTCCAACTGGACGCATTCAGTCCGAGGGATAATTTCTTCTGTCCTGCGAACACAGTCACACTAATAATAATAATAATCCTTGCATTTGATATAGCGTTTTTCACGTCGGGAGGACGTCCCAAAGCGCTTCACAGAACAAACTGTAAAGTGAATTGACTGTATATTTGTGGGCGAACGCGGCAGCCAATTGCGCACAGCAATGTCCCACAAACAGTCGTAGATTGAAAATGACCAATTTATTATTGTTTTTTTTGTTTTGGAGGGATTATTATTAGGCGTGTGGAGAAAGGAAACTTGCCCAAGGTTTCGCCCTCTGTCTGGAATTGAACTCAGGTCTCTCACTTGCAAAGCGAGTGCTCTAACCACTGAGCTACAGGACTCCACTGTGTGTCCAGAGCCCAGGCTTCTGGCTAGCAGCAGAACCAGTCCAACACTTTCAAACCGCTAACAGGAGAAAGAGAGATAGTCATACACACAGACAGAGAGAGAGAGATACAGGGACGCACACACACACAGACAGACAGAGATAGAGGGACACACAGATAACTTGTTGCTGGCTGTATTATCGTTCTAAAATTTGTATAAATTTTTTACATTGCTTATTTAAAGTTTGCAATTGTAACCAAATTATAGTCAAATTAAGTTACATCATTTAAAACAGGATTTCTATAGGATTTTTATGGTTCTGTTTCTAACAATAATCTTTGCATTTGATATGGCGTCTTTTCACATGTTCAAGATGCCTCAAAGTGCTTCACAGCACATACTGTAAAGTGGTTTTGACTGTTTTGTTGGCAAAACGCAGCAGGTTACGTACGGCAATGTCCTACAAACAGCCATGAAGTGAGCAACTAATTTTATTTGGGGGATTGTTGGCCAGGACAGGAAGAAAAACTCCCTTCTCCTTTCGTTAGATTAGTTTACACAAGTGTCAGACACCCAGCTGACCAAGAAAACATCAGCGCAGACATAATACCCACAGTGTACCTGCAGCAGAAAAAGTTCCTTAAAAATATTTGCACATTCAAAGTAGAAATGTTTTTCTTAGTGTTGGAGGCAGTGTAGAGTAAATGAATAGTGCAAAATCCTGTCACTCCCTGGCACTTTCCTATCTTTCTGACCTCTTTTTTCCCCACTCCACTGCACTCTGCCTCCTCTCGGCTGGCTCTGGCCTCCTGCTTGTCCCTTGTCCCCTCCGCACCACCATTGGAGGCCGCACTTTCAGCCACTACCCCCTGAAGCTTTGGAACTCTCTCCCCAATCCCTCAGCCTTGTCCCTTCCTTCCCCTTCATGACTGAAGACCTTTCTCTTCAACCATGCTTCCGGTCACCTACCTTACCCCGGTTCGGTTAAGCGCTGCGAGACTTAAAGGACACTATATAAATGCAAGCTGTTGTTGTTGTTGTTGTGAAAGGGACCATATTCAACATGGTTTGAAGGTCAGTCAGTCCAAATTTTAATCCAAGCTTTACAGAAGTGCTCAATTTATCAGCTATTGCTCAGCCGCTGATTACTCTAGAATCCACTTTTGAACTCGTAATACCCAGTGTAAAACTAAAATATTGCACTCAAAAATGAGACGCTTAAGCATTGCCAAAAGCTTTGTCCATTCAGTGTCTAATACATGGGGTTAAAATTAAACCCAGCTGCTTTCTGAGCAATAGGGTTTCACTTATTCTTTGCGAAGCTCTGAACTCGTGTGGAATGTACAGCATGATATCCAAATTCCCTATCATTATCTTCTAAATGTTAGCCTTTTTTCAAAGACAAAACTACTAATATTCTGCGCTAATCACAAGTCGAGTGTCACCACATTCATGGCTTTACAAAAAGTTTTATGTAACAGCAGAAACATCACACAGGAACTCTAACCCAGTACTACAGCTAACAGTCCGAAAAATATTACTTTTGACTGCCTCCTCAACCAAGTCTGCTGAAGAATTTCAATGTTTTACAGCATTTCACACGTCAAACATCTCAAAGCACTTTACATTAATTGTCAAGTGATTTTTTGAGGGGGAAAAGGCAGCAGTCATTTTGCACACTTCAAGGTCACACAAGCAACCATGATGTAAATGATGAATACATCTGGAGGGGTTTTGGCCAGGGCATTGGAAA